CTCACAAAGCCCGGTGCCTAAAACCGTCCCTCGGAGCGGGAGCGCGGGGAAATCTCTTAATCGTTCGTAACTACTTAATGATAGAGTGGTTAAATGGGTCTGCGTCTCCTTTTCTTCCCCCCCTCGAGTGATGAAGGAGCTCGGGGTTGATTTCGGGTGTTAGCTGGCTGGTCCTGGGGGCTGGAGGGGTTCACGCGCGGAGCGTGCTGCTCAGCCCCGTGGCCGTGAATGCCGCCCCTGTGTTAGCTCCCAGGGTGGTTTCTTCTGCCTCAATGGATGTTGTGTTATGAGCTAGGGAAGGTGGTGAAGCCAAGCGTCTTGATCCTCTTCTCTTTGGTCTGATTTCCTTATCCTCCTCTTCCTTTTTTTTTTCCCCCTTAATTTTTTAAATTTATTTTTGCACTGAATACTCGCGTTGATGAGGAAGACGTGTCTGGGCGTCCGAGTGCGGGTCCCGGAGGTCAGTCGGGGTAACCGAGGGAAAGGCTGTATGCCTTGCGCGGAGGGATGCTTGCAACTCTTGCGCTGTTATTTTTACTTTAGGAGAATGACTTCTTTCCAAGCCATAAGGAGTTGATAATCGTCCTATCTTGCTCATCTGGCAGAACGCCTCTGCAAAACTAATTATTAATCAATAGCATGTATTAAAACATTGAGCAGTATAAACTTGGTTAGTGCCTTTTCATGGACGTGGTATCCATTAAAACGTGGTGGCAAGCAATGGTGAACCAGGAAAAATAGGCTGCCCAGATGTATGGGGCTCCAGTGGTGAGAGTGAGTCATTTGGGACTTTATTTCAGAAATGTTTATATTGACTAGATCTTCTGGTTATTGTGTTTCATTTTGTTTTTTATTTTTAAATTTGCTACTAAAATGCTAAAATACAGAAGACTGGGGAACTGTCTCAGTTTTATTGGTGTAATCAATACTGTGCAAGTTTAGAAGAGGGCATGGTCCTTGATCCTAAAAGTTTGTAGTTTAAATTCTCTTTCTGAAGTTGGTGGCTGCTTTCTGTCTGCTTCAGATAGCAGAGCTTTCTGGTGGTAGTGTCCTTACTGTTACCATCTTAGTACACTATTAAATGTGTTTTTGTGGTATACAGTGGAACGGGTGGATGGAGGCTTGAGATTGTAAAGGGATGTTGGAAAGTGAAAGATAGGCTATGTTTTTTGAGTATGCTTTTGCTGTTCTGGAATCTTACTGAAATCTACTCTAGGTTATGTCCCAAACCTGTTTTAACATCCTCAGGAAAAACCCTTATTTAGGGTGGGATGTGCGTTAAGCCTGACATGCTTCACTTGCTGCAGACATAATGCAGAATCTAGATTCTGGCTCAATTTAGGATGAAATTCATGTTGGTATGAGAGAATCATTAGGGTTTGGGTTTGTTTTGCTTTGTTTTTTTCATGATCCTTATCACCATTAATCCTGAAGTGGCAGAAAGATTCTTCTTAAAATACAAAATGACAACAAAAAGGTTATTGGGCAGTTCATTAGAATAGACTTTATGATAGAGTACACTGTAGAATGGGGATGGGTGCAGGAGCAATAAGGAGAAAAGAAAATAGAATAAGGCGAACTATGGCCAGATCAAAATACTTGGTTTAGGTATCTCTCCAGAGCACAATGTGGAGGGCCTTCCCTCTTTGGTGCACGTTAACTCCTGGTGATAGTCTCGTATTCATGTAACTTCAATTTTGCCTCTGTACTGCTTCCAATCATGCCTTATTTTCCAATAAGGTCCAGCAAGGTCCAATCTTGCTGGTCTGATGATTCCCCCACAGATACTCTGTTGTCATCTTAAGCTCAGGTTAGCTAAAATGTAAGTCTTACCTTGGTCTTATTTCATTCTTACTGTTAACTGGAAACTTCACTGCCTGCTTTCTTCCAGACTTGTAGTTTTGCTCCTGTTCTTACTCAACTTCTCTGTGAGAAGTGATGGGAAGAAGGGCAGTGATGTTTCTCAGGGCAGGATGGTGGTGTGAAATCTAGCCTCGCTGAAGCTAACTGAGGTGGGGGAATCATATAAGGGCATCAGGATTTCATCCCGAGTAAGCTGTAAAGCATATCAGAAATAGTCTTCGTAGTTGTCCGTTCTCGACTTCTATCCATGCTGCTTCTGTTGGGTTCTGCTGAATCTTTGAAACCTTACTAACACCTGTTCTCTTTTGGCAAATCCTGATCATCCTGTTTTCATATTAAACCTCCAAATTTATTCTCTTACAATACATCCAGAATGTTGTTAATTCAAAAATGTGCATTCCCCCCTGCCACAATCCCCACCTCTGTTTTGTTCCTTTTAGCCTCTTCCAGGGACTCTCTGAACTTGTTCTTGGGATTTTGCATGATTTGACTAGTTTCTCTGCTCTTGTCTTTTTTTAATGGCCTTCAGTCTTCATCTTAGAGCCTTTTCTCTCACTCTGCTTGTGGTCCCCACTCATGTGACTCTACAGAGGCGCATTGAACTTTGCTATTACTTCACTGATATACTTTTCGATATCTCCATTTAAAACACACTGGATAAAGTTCTTCAACAAATATCACCAACTGTAGAATTTTAAATGATTGTTCGTAAAATGCAAGGATGCCAAGAAATGTTAAAGTTGAACTAACGATACCGTTTTTGTTTCCAGAAGCAGCCTGAAAGGTGACAAGGACTGACTTATTCAGAGACCGATCTCTGCTGCCCTTGTTCCCCATCCAGGTTAGCTCCTGTGTTCATCTGAGCCTCATGTTAGCTGTAAATGCAATGAAAACTCTGTGTGGAATGGCTACAAAGCTAGATCTGTAGTGAGATCTTAACTACTTAAAAAGACAAGTAGGTTATCAGCATAGAGTCTCAATTCACATACAGACTGGTATCTCTGTACCAACGGTTTAAGTGATTATTAAGTGGGCTGTATTAGGTCATATACTGTCTAAAGTTTATATTCTGTAATGAAGACTTCACCACACATTACAGTAGAAATACACTGCAATAAATGTTTATCTAAATGTATTTAACAAACTGTCAGAAAGCTCACAAGCTGAGTATTGTAGGATATGCCAAAAAGAAAGCCTTTTCCCCCAGTCCTAACTGAGAAATGCCTAAAAATAAACTTGTTTAAAAACAGCTTTTAGAAGTCTCTTATGTGAAGAATCCATTTCCTTTTGATTATTCTAAGTACCATGTTACTTATCATAACTATAAAGTGTGAAGAAAGTACTTAAACTCTTCTTGGAGTAATGCTACTTTGACCTTGATGTCAAAGGTGACTCACTCTGGACAGTGTATAGGCTGGTTGCTGCTGGCCCATCCTCTTCTGGGTAAAGCTGATTGCTCAAATGAAAATGTGGCTGAGATGCTTCACATGACAATTTATGTAGGCCTCCAAAGACACTCAACCACAACGATGTATTGACACAAGGAACTGTATAATGTCTCCTCACTATGTACAGTTACCTTGAAATAGAAATGTCTCATAACACTGTGGAATATCTGCAAAAATAAACATATCTAAAAGTGATGTAACTGTGCCATATTCATTGGCATTGGAGAATCTTACAAGTAGTGTAACACCACTGTCATGTTGATAAAAGTCTATGGTTTGTCCTTGCCACTTGCTGCTGTGGCCTGAAGTCCTAAGACTCTGTAAGAAGAGGGAGAAGGCTGAGATCCACAGTGATGACACTTTCACCTACCCTGCAGTAGGAATGAGTTTTGGCAACAGAAGAAAATGTAAGGCAATTCAGTCATTTCCCTCTTCTCCAGTTCCTTACTTTTATTTTTTTATTGCTCCATCCTGATTGTGAAACACCAGCTTAATGATAAAGGAGCTATTCATGCAAGGAGGAGCCCTCTTGACCCTCATGTCACTATTCACATGAGCAAAGGTTTGCAACACTGGGCTGCATCTTATTTACTGGGAAATCTCTTTTTGTTGGCCCACCACAGTCATCAAAAAACTAAATGGTTTCCATTGATAAACATCAAGACAGGTAAAAAGAAAGGCGAGAATGTGAAGATGAGTGAAAATGGTTACTTTTAAAACAGAGCAATAAATTGAAGAGAGAAACTGCTGGCTCCATTTAGGAGAAGCAGACAAACATACTGAGTATGAGAACAAATAATTGAGGTCTTTATTTGAAAAGCATACAAGACTAAACAGGCCAGAGAGATAACTTTAGAAACCTAAATGTTTAGACTTAAAGCCCAGTGCTGTGAGCAAACATTTAGAAGACTTTTTAAGGAGAGCTTCAGCTAGGATATAGACAGCACACAGGAGGATTATGCTAAAGGAAATATCAGTTAAGTGGCTTAATAGTAGTTTCTCCCCTCTTGTCTTTTAAAGCCAGGATGTCTTCTCCACTCAAATACTGACAGGTGCATTTACAGGATTGTGGTTGGTGTTTGAGGATGCTGAAGTGTGCTTCTAGATTTGTTTATTCTTGGAGTTTGTCAGTTTCATAATAAAACTTTAAAAATATTCTTTGATTCTGAGCACTGTTTCCCACAAAGCTTTACTTCCAAGCTAGTACCTTAAGGTTTAAATCTAGGTGCAATACCCTTGAGAGAGTCTGCAAACTATAGTTTTCTTAAGAACTTGAGCTAGGTTTTAAATGCTTTTCATTAGTTCAACATTCAGTAAAGAGATATGGCTTTTGGTTATGCTTTGTAGAGTGATTTGTTTTCCAATGTAAAGTTAATAGGGACCTATTTTTCATAATCTTTCCCTTCCCCTGTGTCTTTCAGGAGGTGCATAATGAACCTGCATAAATGAGGTTCTAGACTCCTGGAGTTTGGTTGGTTGGTCTTTAACTTCCTGATCCCTTCCATCTAAGGTGTTGAAGGTGGGGGAGACAAATAGGAGATTGAATTCCTTAGTTGGAATGCCAGATGAGCTGTCCCTTTCAAGACCAAGACTTTTGCATGGGCCCAAGAAAGTGAAGCTGAGCAGTTATGGGACAAGGACAAGTGACTGCCAATAGAAAATCTTTACCTGCAAAATTAATGACTACATCTAATACCTGTTGTATAAAAACTTCACAGTGCAAATTAAGGTTTATGCCCAAGAAATAGGTATTGCTAGATTTTTCAAATGTCTGTCTTTTGTTATGCACAGTCTAAATTCAGCAGGGATGAACAGAGATGAAAATGTAGGACCACTGTCCACAGTGCTCTGTGGCATCTTAGACTGAGTTACAGATATTGCCACTGCAGCTTTAGGAGAGGAAAACTGAGGACAGGCAGTACTACTGTACTCCACAGCTTTTTTCTCTGTGTTTCTACATGCAAAATCATAGGTAAGCAGGCATGCTTTTCTGTTGTGTTTTTCTTTTTTTTTCCTTTTTTTCCCTCCCCTGTTTAACCATTACATTGTTTAAACTTTCTTGGAACATAGTTAAACAAAGCTGATAGTGCATACACTGCAACTATGTCTGCTGATGGAGCAATAGCAATCGATCAGAAGTTATAATTTT